AGAAGATATTTTTATTTCTATAATTGAACAATTAGTATTAGACATAAAAGCACATAATTCAGAAATGTGCTTATAATTGTGCTCCTCCATGTAGTTGGTAAATCAGTATGACATATTTATCCATGGCACATGCCCAGATACAAGAATCCAATGCTAGAAAAATCTCCAAGGATCCCAGGTGCTTCCCTTTTAGGCAATGGTAGAGGTTTCGCAGACACACAGAGGGAGTGCAGTTCAGCGCGGACAGACCCTTGCCCTTCCCAAGCCAACAACCTGGTTGCCTTCCTTACACACCTGGGGAAAGCGTGTGCTGGGAAGGACAAAGGCCAGAGTTCTCATATTCTTGGTTGATCTCAACTTTACCCTAGTTCAACAAAAAAGAAGAACAAAGGAGGGAGGAAAGGGAGAGGAAAGGACATTGTTTCCTGCATGAGTTTAAAGATCAGCAAAGAAGAAACATCTGTAACTTCTTTTACTTATCTGCCTCAGTTTTCTAGTTTTGTGGCAAGATTGAATAAAGGAATACAGATCCACAATGGGTGTCTGAAACTTTAGGGTTAAATTCAGACACTTTGGGGTTGTAAACAGGAAATTCAGTGCTGGCACCTTCCTTAACAACCTGGGCAGGGTCTAGGACAGCACTAGCATTAAACACATCAGTGCTTGCCAAGCTGTGGAGATTCCCACCAGGTAGGAAGAGAGGAGGTCGAAAGGGACCTTGTGCAGAAAGATTATATGCCAGCAAACAGATTAACACAATTTTATTTTTTTAAAGAATTATTTATTTAATTTTATTTATTTATTCATTCATTTATTTTAATTTGACCAAAGAGAGAGAGAGAGAAGGAAAGTGAGAAAGCAAGCCACCAGGTCTGGGACTCAAACCGTGGTTGGCCATGTGGGAATGTCCAGCACCTTAACCACCACGCCAACTGCTGTTCCCCAACACAGTTTTATTTTTTAAACCTTTTTGGATTTTGAAAATTTAGATTAGGGGTTAGGGACCTGTAGTACTCTTCTTTTTCTTATGAACTACTTTTCCCTAGAAAACTTGACTTTAGTGACACACTTGTGTAATGTGGAGGAGTTAGTCTGAGTATCAGGTGTTGCTTTATCAGTCTAACTCTGGGTTGAGTGCTCTATCGTGTTTATGCCAGCGCAGATCAAAACAACTGGTTTCAAGATGAGTTCTTCCACGCTGAGCATATTCTATTTTCCCTACGTTTCTCCCACAAATTACAGGCATCTCCTTTGAAACAAGGGAAGTTTCGTAAAAATGTTATCTCCTAGTTTTCGAAGGGAAAACAGACGTTACGGATATTGCCAATCCTACTTTCAAGTTAAATTCGGCTTTTTTTCACTTTAGAGTTCTTGGTTAAATTCATTGTCATCTGTTGTGGCAAACTCCCTATCTGATATATTGCTAGAAATCTTCAGTTTTCCTCAATGGATCATTCTAAATTCCCGTGATTTAGAAGGAGGGTAGGCAGTAAAAGATACATCGTCTCGAACCCCTCACCGAAATCAAAGACCAACATACATGGCTATTCTGATTTTTTTCTTGGCAATATTAATATCTACTTAAAACTTTTGAATAAGAGACCAGCAGATGGCATAATGGCTATGTCTCTGGACTCTCACCTAGTTGACTGCTGTTTGAGTCCCGAACCTGGCAGATTCAAACTCATGCAGGGCGCGCGCACGTGTGTGTGTGTGTGTGTGTGTGTGTGTGTGTGTGTGCATGCCCAAGGTCCTGAGAGGAGAATGGAGGAGAAGGGATTGCGGCATGGCCATGCCCTCCAGGGGTGATTTATCACTTTCTGTCTCTCTGCTCTCTGGTGTGCACATGTGCCCTATAACAAAAATCTCTCTTAAAAAAAATTTAAAAAGAGAAAGAAAAGAAAAACTTTGAATATTATCTGGTTAATATGAAAAATAATATTTTTATTCCTAGTTTAGCAGCTGGCTCTCTAAGAAATCTTCTGACTTTTGTCTGAAAATGGAATAGGACCACAATGAACTGTTTTAAAAGTTGGCATTCATCAGGTGAAATGAACTCTGGGGAAAGCATCCAAGTCACATACGCCAAAAGAGGAAGCTGGAGACTTGTGTACTCGTTCAACCACAGCCTCCCAGCTATCTGGAGGCAGCGTGATCAAGTCTCCCCTTAGGGAAGCTTCCTGATTTTCTGCCACAGAGTTTGGTCAGATTGACAGGGCTGGACACCTCTAAGTTATTACAGATGTTTATAAACAGCAGGAAGGCTAATAGAGCACTTCTGCATGCTTGTCCTTTGGGAAGGATTAAAGAGCTATGGATCCCTTCCAGAATGTGTTGGATTTGGATGGGCTTCACGCCTTGGTGATTTCTTGTATGTTTCTATGTAACCTTGCCCTGGAGGAGACCAGAGAACACGTAGCAGACTTCAGCCAGGAAGTTAAACCTGTGGCTGTCATCAGGGCAACTTGTTGGCCAACAAATGAGTGTTTGGTGGGTAAAATGATCCCTTTCTCCTTTAGTTCCTTCCTTCCCTAAATATACTTTAGATGTGAAGGGTATGAGTAAACCCAAACTCAAGTTTCAGCTCAATAAAGAAACTGCTCATTGCCTTTCCCATGGTTCTTCCAATAAAAGTGAATCCTTGTGTCATTTAAGACATCACCCTAGGCACCGATGAACCAAGGAATCAAACCCCTGTTCTCAGGGAACCTACAGGGACAGAAGGTTTAGAAATTCCTCACTGTGGACTCTCAAAATCAGTGTCTGGGGGACTGATTATTTCCTTACTCAAAGCCTTAGTAGCATTCGAGTAAGAATTTCAAACCACTCTGGGGGAAAAAAAAAAAAAAAAAAACGAATTCCAAACCATACTTGGGAATTGAATTTTCCTAAGCTTACCTCTTTAAAAACTTCCAGTGGTTATCCTATTGCCTGCTGGGTCCATTTGGACCTGCTGAGCCTGACACTGAAGGTCTTCAAAACTCACCTTGTGGGGACCAGTAGTTGGCATAATGGCTATACCCTTGGACTCCCATGTAGTCATTCGAGTCCAGGACCTGGTGGCTTAAACTCACGCTGGGCGCGTGTGCGTGTGTGCCCAAGATCCCGAGAGGAGAATGGACAAGGGATTGCGGTGTGGCCATCCCCCCCAGGGGGTGATTTATCACTTTCTGTCTCTCTGTCTCTCTGTCTTTCTGGCGAGCACACACGCCCTATAGCAAAAACCTCTCCCAAAAAATACCTCACCTTGCCTGCCTTTTCAGCTGTGTTGTCCCTCACATACGACCCTTTCCAGTTCAAGTTATATGGACTATGCAACATGGTTCTGTTCCACTCGACGGAAAGATGGTATTCCTATTCTTTTCATGCAGCATTGTCCCAAAGCCTGCTCTTACAGCAGAGCTCGTAGGGGCCTTTCTTTCCTCTGAACATCCACATTTGGTGTTGGAACTGATGTGATCAGACACTGCCCACATGGTCAGATATCTGTATGTGCACTTGCTACCTCCGCAGCACAACTGTGAGTCCTGGCTATTTTGTCTCCGTTATTTGTGTTCTTCCATGTAATAACAGGAGCTCTATAAATACCTTCAGCTTATTGATTATTAATTGACAAATCCTTGCCTTACTGCTTAGATTACACAGTTCAAGTAATTGGATGTATTGATTCAAACAATCACAGGTTGAGCTTTTCCTTCTGGTTGATTGGTCCAAGTCAGGATTTATAAATGTCACTGTCATCGTTCCTTACAGCGCTCGAAAATCGCCCTTTCTGGGAGCAGTTCTAACGTCATTGAACATCCTCGCATTTCTTTGTCATCACATAAATAAACTGAAAGTATTGGTGTGGCTTTGCCCAGTGGCACTTGGTATCCAGTGGCAGGGTTTCTAATTTCACAGTGTTGGAGACGCATCCTCCAGTTAGCAGCCTGGATGTCGAGGTGTCCACCACCTAGACAGTCACCTCAGGAGCTCCCCACCTGTGACTGCAGGCTCCCTTCCTTCCTTGGTATTTATGTCTTGAGCTTCTATCTCGTTACTCTTTAGATGGTACTGCCCGTTGTCCTGGCAGCCTTGCTATGTCCGAGCGGACAGAGCCACTAGCGTAGCTCAGATTAGAGCTGTGAGTCAAAGGCAGGGCCCGGTGAGATGAATCTTTGCAACGTAGCTGAGGCTTCAGGCTCTTTGGTGGACCGGGGAAATACTCAACAGCAGAACCATTCCAAGGTGGATGCCGCTAATTCTGAGTGGGTGCAGGTACTGCGCATGGCACAGCCCAGAGGGGATCTGAGTCTGCTGAGTGTGCAGGGAAGAGTCAAGCATCAGAAGAAGGCTGGGTAAACTAGGGGAGCTTAAAGCGTCTTCCAACCTGAGCATGTGCACGTCTGTAAGAGAAAGAACATTGCAGGGCCGGATGCCTGAGACCTTCTTACAGTAATAGACGATCCACCTCACAGTTTCTAAGTCATTTCTGGGCCTTGTCAGAAGCAAGTTATTTATCTATCATATTTCAAAAAATGGTTTCAGTGTGTTGTCAGCCTAAGCACTGTGTGTGAGGGAGGCCAACAGCTCTCATGGGGAGAGCGTGACGTTGCTCAGTCCTGGAGCCCTGTACGTCCAACAGTGAGGCCTTGGGGCGCTTCTCCTCGGACTCGCTCCCATAGAGACCATTGTCACCCCAGATTCATGTCATAGGCAGCCCAGCAGCCCTCAGTCTGTGGCCCTCTGTGAGAGCAGGGTTTGAGTGGTCACCCTGGGCCATCCACAGGCATCCTGCCCTGCTTTCTGTGCTGGAAGAGGCGGCCACTCGGCGGTATATGTCGTGCATTCTTTCTCATCTGTACTAAGTTAATAAATAAAAAGAAATCACCTCTTCCTCCCACCACTTTTCATTAAAAAGGAACAGATGTGGGGTGTCTCAGACAAGGCAGCTGGGTCAGATCGTATCAAATGCTGTTCTTATGGAGCGTGAGCGCATTTCTTGCAATTATCTCTTGCAGCAATGAAGTTGTGAGGAGTGACTTGAAGAAGCTGCCAGCACTTCCCACCCAGGCCCTGAAGGAGCACCCATCCCTGGCCTACTGGTAAGACCCTACAGTCTTCTCCACAGCAGGCCCCACCTGGGGTGCCTAGGGCTCAGACAACTCAGCCCACTCCACTGACTCTGTCTCCCTGTCAGATCATGACACTGTTTTCTGCATTTACTTAAATGGCATGTTGTGTGTGAGATCTCTTCTCTTCTGTTTTGTTTATTTGTTTAAAAAAAAAAAAAAACTGGAACTAGCAGTTAGCATAATGGCTATGTCGCTGAACTCCCATGTAGCCAACTGCGGTTCGAGTCCTGGACCCAGTGGTTTAAACTCACGCCGGGCGCGTGTGCATGCATGCCCAAGATCCCAAGAGGAGAATGGAGAAGAAGGGATTGCGGCGTGGCCATCCCCTCCTGGGGGGTGATTTCTCACTTTTTATCTCTCTGTCTCTGTCTTTCTGGCAAGCGCACACACCCTAAAGAAAAAAAAAAAAACAACTCTAGAATTCCACTTTGGAAGCTTTGCCTATTTTGAGTCTCACGGAGCTTCATTTTGGAAGCTGTCATTGACAACAGCATGTATGAGGGTCTTAGATATGGAGAAGTACAGGGGTTTTTTTCTTTCCAGAAGGGAGATAGGTTTTTTAATGCTTCCTCAGTGTTTCATATCTCATTTAACTGCCACGTCACATTATGCCGTCATTCATCTGTCGGGACCTAAATTACAGAGTGATTCAGCGTTCAAAAGGTTCCCGGTTGTGGTCGGGGCCACAGTTGAGCAGGGCTTGCATTCCTGGGCACCATGTTAAAATCCTGCTGGGCTTAGAAGCCCTGACCACTGCCCTCTGACATGCATGATTTTGCTTCTTAACACTCCTGACGCCTCTCCAAAAACCACTGTAACCGCTTTTATTAAAAAAACAAAACAAACAGCACTGACAAGTTAATCCTAATAAACTACAACATGTGATTCATTTCAGAGCTTCTGTATACACTTTCCAAAGCACACAGAATTACTCACATTTCTCTGAACACTCT